GCTTAATAAAATAAAAATTATTAAGTGCGTTACTACCATTAGTATAAAATAATTAGGGTTAACTCTCTTTGACAATCGACAGCAAGAAAAAAGAAGATTGGTTAAGTATTTTATTTCTTGCTTTTCATCTTTATTCTTTATGTATAATTATAAAAGTAACTAAAATGTAAAAATAGGGATTCTTTTAGGTTAGTTAAGATTAGATTAAGTAAAATTAATAATAATAATAATATTATAATAAAAAAGTTTCAGGAGGCACACACGTGAGCAGCCCATAGTAGTTTGTGGGTAATGTAATTTGTTAGTGTAACTTAAGCTGCACATCTCCAAATGATTTACTACTTATAATGGTGCAGATAATAGTTAAACACCATTTAAAGGGCAATAAAATGTAAGTATAAATAGATGTATACTGTAATGAACTTAGAACTACATAGGATAAACGAATGTAGTTTCATGTTACAGTTTAAAATCATTCTAGAAAGAAAAAAAAAGAGTAATTTAGATTTATTTCTTCCTTTTTTCTTTTTTTTTTGGTGGTTACAAGGTCAGTCAAACTGACCAATTCCATTTTGAGATAGGGTAGAGAAAATAATTAATGCTTTGCTGAAAAAAAACGTTTGAAATGCATTTAGGAAGTTTTTATGGATTACACAAGGGAAATTTGAGATGAGGAAAAGTTTTTTTTTTTAATTTTAACATGAAAACTACTTTTCACATGAACTATTCAAAACAAATACTCAATATATTTATGAACAAATCTTTATTTTATTAGAAATATTTCACGAAAAACAATTTTTTGTATGTGAAAAAGACTGCCACATTTTGTGAAGATATACACATCATATTGAAAGTTAGAAGTATTAAATCTATAAAGACTAAACAAATACAAAAAGGTCATGTGGTCTGTCAAATTGACCAAGAGTTAAGCAACACACTCATTTATTGGTTTTTATGTTTCACCTTTAAACAACACTTGTTTATAGTTTTTTTTTATTTTTCACCTTTAAACAGCACTTGTTTATTGGTTTAGGTTTCACCTTTAAACAACACTCTTGTTTATAGTTTTTTTATTTTTCACCTTTAAACTGCACCTGTTTATTGGTTTATGTTTCACCTTTAAACAACACATTTATTGGTTTTTATCATTCAGTTTTTGCCAATATTCATCTATATCTTGTTTCTAAGGTAACTTGTAAAAAAGTAGAGGTACCTGTATTGAAATTTTGTTGTGGGGCCCTTTATATACTATGCAGTAACTGGGTTTATTATATTCAGAACATTTATGGGTTATTAACTTAACTGGTGTTTAATTTCAGATTCATGTTGCAATAGTGTAACAGCAATATATGTCTAACTAAATGTAAAAATATTTGACATTTTATTATGAAACATGTGCTTGCACCAACATCATCTCATTTATAGTTATTTAATCCCATTCAGTTTGAATTGTTTTGTATAATTTTTGGTAGGAGAAAATGAAACAAAGTTTTATTCTGTTTTTAATAATAAAGTACAATGTATTGTGTAAAATATTAACATGAGTTATAGTTTTAATAATAAAGTATAATTTACCATCATTATACTTTATTATTAAAACTATAACTCATGTTAATATTTTACACAATATACATCACTAACTACCATCATTATACTTTATTATTATAACTCATGTTAATATTTTACACAATACACATCACTAATTACCATCATTATACTTTATTATTAAAACAATAACTCATGTTAATATTTTACACAATATACATCACTACCTACCACCTTAGTGATGTATATTGTGTAAAATATTAACATGAGTTATAGTTATAATAATAAAGTATAATGATGGTAGTTAGTGATGTATATTGTGTAAAATATTAACATGAGTTATAGTTTTAATAATAAAGTATAATGATGGTAGTTAGTGATGTGTATTGTGTAAACACTATTGAAAGTTAGAAGTATTAAATCTATAAAGACTTTAAAGGAGTACAAAGAGATCACATGTTGAGAGAGTTAAGGTATACTGGCTTGATGACAGGTTTGTGAGGTGTGGTTAGGTCAGGGATTTGGAAAGTAGTATTAAAGTATGCTAGTTAACAGGTTAGTATGATGGTTAAGGAAAAGCAAATACAAACAGCCAATTACAAAATGTCTACATATGTAGGTTGTCATTTTATTTGAGAAGAAAATGAACCACAATTTACTATTTTTTGCCCAAAAATATAAAATAAAATATTACATAAAATCATTTAGCTCCTTTGGTGTGTGAGGCATTGCCAATCACAATGACAGTACATCAGAGGTATCATACAACAGTCAGGAATTATTTAATTTATACTTACTCGATATGCCCAAATTATGGTTATGTTGGAGTAATGTAGAGAGAATAAATTAGGCAAGGTAAGTAACAAAGTTAATTCATTATTTTCTTCACATGACAGTAAAAGCACATTACCAGTTTATGAGAATTTGTCATGAGTATATATGTTTCACATACACTTTCTATTTTTTAACGACATTGTTATATTGGCTCTACACTGTATGTTAGTAACAACCTCCTTAATTAATTAGTTACCTCAAAAGTTTCTACATCTCATGACTATTGAGGTAGTTTATTTTCTTGTTTTGTGGGAAGGTACATTATAACTCAAAAACCGTTTCTGGAGAAAGTCCTATGGGAAGTACCGTTAGCAGTCTTCGACCTTATGTGGCCATATCTGTTGACTCGGAACAAATGGAGCCAGCAAAGATGAACTTGATGTCTCTAGACAGTGGTCAGTGTGGAACAAGCTATGGCGGGAAAAAAAGTGGAGTGAAAAAAGCTAGTCTTTTTGCTTGGGTTACACTTCAGAGTATTCCAGAGGTAACATTCCCTGTCTTACAACAAGACATGTAGACCTTCATGTAGTACCCTGTGTCTGCCTTCAAGGTAGGTAAACATTTGTGTAGCACCATGTGTCTTCCTTCAAGGTTGGTTGACATTTGTGTAGTACCCTGTGTCTTCCTTTAAGGTAGGTTGACATTTGTGTAGTACCCTGTGTCTTCCTTTAAGGTAGGTAGACATTTGTGTAGCACCCTGTGTCTTCCTTTAAGGTAGGTAGACATTTGTGTAGCACCCTGTGTCTTCCTTCAAGGTAGGTAGACGTTTGTGTAGCACCATGTGTCTTCCTTCAAGGTAGGTAGACCTTTGTGTATTATTCTGTGTCTTCCTTTAAGGTAGGTAGACCTTTGTGTATTATTCTGTGTCTTCCTTCAAGGTATGTAGACCTTTGTGTATTATTCTGTGTCTTCCTCCAAGGTAAGTAGACATTTGTATAGTATTCTCTATCTTCCTCCAAGGTAAGTAGATGTTCATGTAGTATTCTCTATCTAAGTAGATCTTTGTGTAGTATTCTCTATCTAAGTAGATCTTTGTGTAGTATTCTCTATCTTCCTCCAAGGTAAGTAGAAGTTCATGTAGTATTCTCTATCTAAGTAGATCTTTGTGTAGTATTCTCTATCTTCCTCAAGGTAAGTAGAAGTTCATGTAGTATTCTCTATCTAAGTAGATCTTTGTGTAGTATTCTCTATCTTCCTCCAAGGTAAGTAGACATTCATGTAGTATTTTCTATCTTCCTCCAAGGTAAGTAGACGTTCGTGTAGTATTCTCTATCTTCCTCCAAGGTAAGTAGACGTTCGTGTAGTATTCTCTATCTTCCTCCAAGGTAAGTAGATGTTCGTGTAGTATTCTCTATCTTCCTCCAAGGTAAATAGACATTCATGTAGTATTCTCTAACTTCCTCCAAGGTAAGTAGACATTCATGTAGTATTCTCTATCTTCCTCCAAGGTAAGTAGACATTCATGTAGTATTCTCTATCTTCCTCCAAGGTAAGTAGATGTTCATGTAGTATTCTCTATCTTCCTCCAAGGTAAGTAGACATTCATGTAGTATTCTCTATCTTCCTCCAAGGTAAGTAGATGTTCATGTAGTATTCTCTATCTTCCTCCAAGGTAAGTAGACATTCATGTAGTGTTTTCTATGTTCCTTCAAGGTAAGTAGACCTTCATGTAGTATTCTCTGTCTAAGTAGATCTTTGTGTAGTATTCTCTGTCTAAGTAGATCTTTGTGTAGTATTCTCTATCTTACTTCAAGATAAGTAGATCTTTGTGTAGTATTCTCTATCTTACTTCAAGATAAGTAGATCTTTGTGTAATATTCTCTATCTTACTTCAAGGAAAGTATATCTTTGTGTAGTATTCTCTATCTTCCTTCCATTGCGTACTTTTGCGGTATACTTTACCATTTTGAATTTTTGTCATCTGACCTGCCCCTTCCCAACATTCTGAATAACCCACAACATTTCTGTCATCTGTTATGCTCCTTCATAAACCTTCTAGATAACCCACAACATTTCATCAATCTTTTCTACGCATTATGGATAATCACATTTCTGTCACCTGCTCTGCTCCTTCCCAACTTTTCCAACATGGCTTCCTGGTTAAATGAAAGCATTTATATTCATATTTCCTGCTCCTATCCCACCATCTGAATAGTCCACAACTTTTCTGTAGTGTATCCAACTCATGTCTGACTTTCAGGATAATCCTTAGGAGTTCTGTCATTTTTGTCTACTTCTACTTGACCTTTAGAATATTTCTGTATAGGCTTTTATTGTCCTTAGAAAACATTACTTTCATGATCACGGCCTATCCCTTAGGTCAACATGAGACTTAAATGTTTGTTCTCTTCTAAACTTTCTCTACCTTCAACATAATCATTTTTAGAACCCCACTGATAGCTATAGTTTTGGTGAGATGAATATTAACAGATATGAAAATTATGTCATTTATGTAATGAAATGTGAACTAAGAAATCTGTGTAAATTTCATATGTAAAAACCCTGATATCAGTTGTTACAGTAATTAAACAGTAAATGTAAAATTTGTAGACTTGTAAATGAGTATATTGAAAATTGGGAAATTAGCAAATTTTGTAAAATTAGAATAATGAGGATAGGTGGGTAAAATATTAAGTGTATAAATAAATCAATAAACAATTTACTTATGAAGGAAGAAAAATACACAAAAGTTTCTTAAAATTGCATACATTTCATGCAGGATACCCTGTTATATCCTTTAGTATAGTATTAAAATGTTTTTTCAGTTTTTTTTTTAAACTACAATAACTATGATTTTTTGTCATACATACATTTGTATTGTGTGCTGTTGATTAGGAGGCAGTACTGAGTCCTCATGTGCTGGATTTCTTGGAACAAGCCTTGGAACCTATCCCTATCCATATGACTAAATCTACTTCTGCTCCTACAGGTAGGGCAGTAAGTTTTATTTCTCATCCTGTAAGTGTATCTTAAGTTTGTTTTCATACATGTAGGAAATATCTTAAGCTACTGTTTTATACTTGTAGAAAAGGTCATACGCTTCCGTTTTATACACATAAACAAGGTCGCAGGCTTCCATTTTATACACGTAGACAAGGTCGCAGGCTTCCATTTTATACACGTAGACAAGGTCGCTAAACTTCCATTTTATACATGTAGACAAGGTCGTAAACTTCCCTTTTATACACATAGACAAGGTCGTAAACTTCCCTTTTATACACATAGACAAGGTCGTAAACTTTCGTTTTATACACATAGACAAGGTCGCAGGCTTTCATTTTATACACGTAGACATGGTCGCAAGCTTCCATTTTATACATATAGACAAGGTCGTAAACTTCCGTTTTATGCACGTAGACAAGGTCATAAGCTTCCATTTTATACACGTAGACAAGGTCGTAAGCTTCTGTTTTATACGCGTAGACAAGGTCGTAAGCTTCCGTTTTATACACGTAGACAAGGTCATAAGCTTCCATTTTATACGCGTAGACAAGGTCATAAGCTTCCGTTTTATACACGTAGACAAGGTCATAAGCTTCCGTTTTATACACGTAGACAAGGTCGTAAACTCCCCTTTTATACACGTAGACAAGGTCGCAGGCTTCCCTTTTATACACGTAGACAAGGTCTTAAACTTCCCTTTTATACACTTAGACAAGGTCGCAAGCTTCCGTTTTATACACATAGACAAGGTCGCAAGCTTCCATTTTATACACGTAGACAAGGTCGCAAGCTTCCTATTTTATACACGTAGACAAGGTCGCAAGCTTCCATTTTATACACGTAGACAAGGTCGCAAGCTTCCATTTTATACACGTAGACAAGGTCGTAAACTTCCCTTTTATACACGTAGACAAGGTCATAAGCTTTCGTTTTATACACGTATACAAGGTCATAAGCTTTCGTTTTATACATATAGGCAAGGTCGTAAACTTTTGTTCTATACACGTAGACAACGTCGTAAGCTTCCATTTTATACACATAGACAAGGTCGTAAACTTCCGTTTTATACACGTATACAAGGTCATAAGCTTTCGTTTTATACATATAGGCAAGGTCGTAAACTTCTGTTCTATACACGTAGACAACGTCATAAGCTTCCATTTTATACACGTAGACAAGGTCGCAAGCTTCCATTTTATACATGTAGACAAGGTCGCAAGCTTCCGCGTGTATAAAAGGGAAGTTTTCGACTTTATCTATGTGTATAAAATGGAAGCTTATGACGTTGTCTACGTGTATAGAACAAAAGTTTACGACCTTGCCTATATGTATAAAACGAAAGCTTATGACCTTGTATACGTGTATAAAACGGAAGTTTATGACCTTGTCTATGTGTATAAAATGGAAGCTTGCGACCTTGTCTACGTGTATAAAACGGAAGCTTACGACTTTGTTTTCGTGTATAAAACGGAAATTTGCGACCTTGTCTACGTGTATAAAACGGAAGCTTATGACCTTGTCTACGTGTATAGAATAGACAAGATCGCAAGTTTCCGTTTTATACACTTAGACAAGGTCGCAAGCTTCCGTTTTATACACGAAGACAAGGTCGTAAACTTCCATTTTATACACAAAGACAAGGTCGTAAGCTACTGTTTTATACACGTAGGCAAGGCTGTAAGCTTCTGTTTTATACATGTAGACAAGGTCTTGAGCCTATGTTTTTATATGTTTTTAGAGTTATAAGTTTTTGTTTTATAACTAAGGATTAACTAGGTTGTAAGTTTTATGTTGTCTCAGTCATCACATGAGCTTGTAGTTACCTGTTGTGCTTAATTATGTCAAGGTTTTTATTACACACCTGTAGATAACATCTTTAGTTTCTGTTCTCGAAATACTAATAACATCTTTAGTTTCTGTTCTCAAAATACTGATAACATCTTAAGTTTCTGTTCTCAAAATACTGATAACATCTTTATTTTCTGTTCTCAAAATACCGATAACATCTTTAGTTTCTGAATACTGATAACATCTTTAGTTTCTGTTCTCGAAATACTGATAACATTTTTAGTTTCTGTTCTCAAAATACTGATAACATCTTAAGGTTCTGTTCTCAAAATACTGATAACATCTTTAGTTTCTGTTCTCAAAATACTGATAACATCTTTAATTTCTGTTCTCAAAATGCTGATAACATCGTTAGTTTCTGTTCCCAAACTGTTTATAACATCGTTAGTTTCTGTTCCAAAACTGTTTATAACATCGTTAGTTTCTGTTCCCAAACTGTTGATAACACCTTAAGTTTCTGTTCCCAAACTGTTGATAACATTTTTAGCTTTCTGTTAAGATGCTATAATTTTCAGATGAGTCTTCCTCTATTTTTATTTTGTTTCTTTCAACAACTCCCACTAAAAACACAGTCTAATATTCCAGATCTTCTAATGCAATATATATATATAAAGACAGTTAAAAGGTAAATTACTTATTTATGGTAAAGTAGAGATTGATACTTTATAAATGTTATTGAAAATAATGTATAATATTAAAAATTTGACTTTATTATTACTTTTCATACCTGTTTCCTATAATTTCAGATTCCAGTAGCATGGTATTTAGTAATCTAAAGTCTGAGGCAGGAGGATCAACTCTAGTCACACCAAGCCAATATGCATATGCCTCCTTCCCTGTTGATGTTATTGTTTACTTCCATATGCAGCCTTCCATCATTCGATTCAGCTGTCTGCCAGTGTCCCGTGTAGAGTGTTTGTTACGGCTCCCATCTGTAGATCTGGTATTCTCTTCAAAACGAGCTGAAGATGAACCAAATGGAGTTAGTGGCACGGAGGGGATATCAGGATCCAAGTTTAAAGGTTAGTTTCACATGTCGTTACAGGGAGTTCACATATAAGATTTAAAATGTGAGAAAAGCTGATTTTTCTAAACATCATTTTTCAACATTGAGTTAGATCAGGGTGTGATTCATTGACATTTTAATATTAAACACAAATAATTGTACAGCCTTTAGTAGTAAGAGCAATGGCTTGCCTTATTATTTGCTCTATGCCAAGTTGGCCATTCCTGTTTGAGATATTGACTTTTTTAAAGAAACAGATCTAAAAAATTATCTTACGTTTGGAGTTCTCTTAGCCTAGTGTGTCAGTCTGTGATAATAGAATAACTTTATACGTAATTGATTACTTAAAGCTGAGGACTTAGATATTTATTTGGGAAACTATTTATATAGCATATGGTATAACTCTGTATAACTGACTACTTGAAGCTGAGATCTTAGAAAACTGCAAATATAGCATAACTCTATTTAATTCACTACTTAATGCTGATATCCTCTAAAACTACAAATATAGGATAACTCTACATACCTGACTAGTTATAGATAGCAACTGTGCAACATTTCTCTTCTTTAAATATATAACTGTAAGACTGTACACACCAAGAAATGTTATATATGTCAATAAAGAAACCAGGCAGACCTAGTGTGAGTTTGCTGTGAATCAAACCATGTTAACTGTTCAATGACCATAACATCTTATCTGCTCTTCATATTTCATGATCAAGAGACCACAGTCAATAAGTATTCTATGTTTAGAATATATACGTGACAGATGTTTGTACATATACTTGAACATTTTCATGCATCAACCAGCTAGACTTGTATATGATCTTTGGAAAATGAGTTAAAATATCGAAAAATACTGTGAAGTAGTTTGAACACAGTAATTTGAAAGTCATCAAATTTTGATCATTGCTTGTTAATGTGTCACATTTGGTAAGTTCTGATCATTAATTGTCAATATGTCACATTTGGAAATCTTTGATCATTGCTTGTTAGTGAGTCACATTTGGTAAGTTCTGATCATTACTTGCTAGTGTGTGTGTGTCACATTTGGTAAGCTTTGATCATTACTTGCTAGTGTGTGTGTGTCACATTTGGTAAGCTTTGATCATTACTTGCTAGGTGGATTCCTGTACGTGGTGAGATGACCTCCCAGAAACAGTTCTGTAATTTCAGTTTATCTCTTCTGGAATCTGAATATCCACCAATGTGTTTGCCATGCATGACAACTCATGAAGAGGAGGAAAGGATCCTTGTGGGAGAGTGGTGTCTGGGGCAATGCAACACACCACTTTGGCCTTGAATTCCTGTAGAAGGGTGGCCTTGGGGTGGCTCCATCAGGTCAATTGACTGGTCCTTTTGGGCTAGAGTCAACCGAGTACCAATGTTGTATGTTCTCAACAGGTGTTGTGGACATTGTATCTGATGCTAGTGTTTGAATATAGTGCTCATGAAGCCCTGGCATTGTTTGGCATTGTAGTGTGTCCTCTCATAGAACTCCATGGTGGGTGGGGTCAGTGAGCACTGAAATATTCTCCTTTTATTATGAATCTCCCAAATCTTCAAAAAAATAAATAATAAAAACTCAGCTTATTGGTAAACAACCATGTCTTAAAGACTTTGATCATCAGCCTTCAATTCATCTTGTTCCTGTACCTCGTTCTTTTTTATTTTGCATTCCTTGTAAGAAAAAACTTTAGGACAAATGTCTCCCTTTTTTATTCAGAAGGGATTAGAGGAGCTTGCTGGCTCTTCAAAGTCAGTCAAGAAGCTATGTTCTGGGAACATCTTGATGGAAACATCTACACCAAAAAAACAGCAAACTCCTCTTGAATTGGAAGGCCATATACCCATTGAGGTTACTTCCCATGCTACTCTGAATTCCTCATGAGAAGTTATTGTTGAGAGGGATTTCAAGAACATTCCCAAGTCAGATATCCTCACTGGTTTCTCCAGTGCAACATTTCTCCACTCATTCCTATTTTGACATTTACATCGCCACATACACCTGCCATTGTCAATGCAAGTTATATGAACTGTAAGATATGGCCATATATTTACAAGCCTCTCAGATGTTTCCAGTGTCAGCTGTTTGTACTCATTGTGGTGGCAAAGACCACGACACCTACGAGTGCGAACTGGACCCTCACTATGTTAATTGTAGTGGTTCCCACCCTCTTACTATAGTTCTGGTCCTAAGTGGGTGGAAAAGAAAGAGGTACAGCATTTAAAAAGTGTTAACAACGTTTCTTACACTGAGACTCGGAAGTTATTGTCCCCTATTCCATCTCAGACATATGCCGCTGTACTATGCTTCACTGCTACAGCAGGAGTGCAGACCTCCTTCTAGTCAAGAAAAATGGTTCTCCTCCACCTAACTAAAAATGGACACTTTGATACAGTGGAACTGTTGAGGTTTTTCATTCTAATCTGGATAACATTACGGCCTTGATCAATTCATATCATCCCGTGTGTCTTTCCTTACAGGAAAAATTTCTGAAACCTGCTGATACAGTCATCTTTCAGCAGTTTTCTTTATACCGGAATGATAAGCGGTGTGATGGATGAGTGCATAGATGGGTAGCACTGCTGGTCAATCATTAAATGCCCACCTTGTCGGTGTCACTCAATACACCCTTGGAGACCGTAGTCATCTGTGTTTCCTTGGGTTGTACCATCACTCTTTTTTCTCTCTACCTGTTTTCTGGAAAGACTTGCAATAAATCAGACGTAAATGCTCTCATTGAACAGTTACCCTCTCCCTTTATAATCCTGGGAGACTTTAATGGACACAATTCCCTCTGGGGTGGTGCTAATATTGGTGGGAGGTGTCATTCCATAAAGTGTATGCTCTTGGATCACAACCTTTCTCTCTTCAGTATTGGTCATATACTTATTTTCATGCACCTAGTCAATCTTTTACTACCATTGATCTATCTGTCTGCTCCCCTTCACTTTCCTCTTGCTTTTCTTGAAGGGCTGATAGTGACCCATGGAGCAGTGATCATTTTCCTATCATTTTGAGGGAGATTGGCTGTGGTCGAGTGCCTTGGTGAAAGTTGGACCAGGCCAACTGGCTCTCTTTCACCTCTCTCTCGGAACTTGATCTTGCTGTCATTAGTCTTCCATCTATTAACAACTTTGTGGATGCAGTAACTCATTACTTCATTCAAGCAGCTGTTCTTTCTATTCCTAAAACCTTGAAACATTTCCCATGGTATCCTCGTCCATGGTGGTCACCAGCCTGCAGCAGGTCAGACATCAAAGCCAAAAGGAATCTTGGATTAAGTTCACATCTAGCATCTTTTCTACAGCCACTTCGAAACTCATATGGGATATGATTCAGAAGGTCAATGGGAAGTATTCTTCTCATCCCCTTTCCATCTTGCTCTGCAATAGCCCGGGAAGTTACTGATGTACAGAACATCACCAAACATGTATCCAGCATGTATCTCATGTATCCAGCACTTCTGTTTCTTCCCTTACCATCTTGGCCATCAAGTCTCTGGCAGAGCGATCACCTCTTTCCTTTTGGGCTGATCATCTCTATGACTATAATTGCCCCCTTACACTGGTGGAACTTAAACTTGCTCTTTATCAGTCTGGCAGCACATCGATCGGACCTGATGATGTTCACTATGAGATATTGTTCCATCTCTTTCCTGCCTCTTGCTGTTCTTGTGGTTGTGTTTAACTGAATCTGGCAGGAGAACGTTTTTCCTGATGCTTGGTGCCAGGCAATTGTACTCCCTTTCTCTGAGCCTGGGAAGGAACCCAAAATTCTTTCTAATTATCATCTAATTGCTTTGACTAGCTGTCTCTGTAAGGTCTTAGAGAGGGTGGTTAATGCTCATCTTGCTTGGTTCCTCAAATCAAACAACCTTCTCTCACCCACCTAGTTTGGGTTCCATCAACAGCACTCCACTGTTTATTTACTATTAGTATCCATTTTCATTTCTTTATATTTTTGTTTTCTGCAATTTTTATGTGGAGTTTGTAGATTGAAGGAGTAGTTGGAGGCTATCATAATTAAAGTAGAGGCAATAGATAAAAAGAAGTATAGATTGTGGAAAATGGCAGCAGGATTTCAGGAGGAGCTGAGTCTTTTACATGCAAGGAATACATCTGCTAACAATGACTTAATTTAATTGTAATGGGTTTATTTGGTTGAGCAACAAATTTCAGCCCCTGGCTTCTGCAGATGAGGAACTATTGAAGGATGTTATAGTTATAGGTGATTCCTTGACAAGGCATGTGGATGGAATAGTCTGTGGGGTAAATATGGAGAAAAGAATCAGATTATGTTACCCAGAGACACAGGTGGAGGAGATAACTCACAGAGTAGGAGATATAATAAAGGGGGCTAGCAGACATGCAGTTTTTATGGTTCATATAGGTGCTAATTATGTAGGGAAAGGTAGGTCAGTGGAGCTAATTAATAAATACAAGAGGTTGATAAAGGCATTTAAAGAAAGAGGCCATAACTTACTTTTGTCAGGGATACTACCTAGAATTAACTGTGGGGATGAAGTTATAAGTAGGTCACTAGGGCTAAATGCTAGACTTAGGTTAGTTTGTAAGGATGAGCAGATTGGCTAGTTCGACTTGTGGGATTAGTTCAGAGGAAGAAGTGAGCTTTTTAAAATGGATGGTTTACAGTTAAATAGGGTAGGGGGCTGGCTTGTTTGCTAAGGCTATTAACTTAGCTGTAAGGGAAGTTTTAAACTAGGACTAGACAGCGGTCAGTGCCAGGAAAACTAAATGCAAACAGAATAAAAGGCAGAGAAAAGTTTAGCCTAGAAAATGAGTATAGAAGTGGTTACAAGTATAGGCTTAATTGTTACAATTGTAATGCTAGAAGTATAAAAATAAAACAGATGATTTTAGAGCACTGGTAGGAATGGAGGATTTTGATATAATGGGAATAACTGAAAC